ATTTAGGGCTTAGGGTATAGGGCTTAAGGTTCAGGACTTAGGGCTTAGGGTAGAGGGTTTCGGGTTAGACTGCAAGAGTAATTACCCAGTACAGCCATTCAGCCTCACTGGTTGTGAATCCTTGAGTTAGGTTGGGCCCCAAGTTGCTTGAATTCAGGCTTCCCGTTCCTCCTGAAGTAGCTAGAGCATAATAATCCTTAATAGCTACCGAACAACCCGAAAAACGCTACAGGCCCAAACCCTCCGCTGTAAGCCCTAACACTTTAATCTTTAATCCATACTTAATCCCAAATCCCAGAATGTAAATCCCAAGCCCTGCGAGTAATATCACACTCAAGAAAGCAAACGTCTGCGACACTCTGGACTGTGAAACAGGAGCATGATACTGCTGATGAACAAAACCCCGTGTCGCCCGAAACATCCCTGGACTTTGGAAGCTATGCTACAGACCCAAACCTGAGGCCCTGTTTCTTTGTCTGATGATGCTGATGATGTAGGAGTCATGCACCATCATCCTCATCCTCGTCCTCACCCTCATCAACACCATCAACACCATCAACACCACCATCATCATCATCATCACCACCACCACCACCACCATCTTCATACTCAAAATCATCATCACCACCACCATCTTCATACTCAAAATCATCATCATCATCATCATCATCATCACGAGCTTCGGGCGCCCATCCTGCCAATGAGCCACTGCCATGGCGTCGACAGAGGTCTCGGGAATGGCACTGACTAATGTAGGGGCCTCAATAGTTAGAATAGGGTTTAGGGTTTAGGGTTTACTAGACTAGAACTATAGTAAGGAACCCCCAAGTATAGTATTGGTAATTATTTAGGCCCCTATATTAAGCTCGCCGGTGTTCTGAATCTTCTCTGAAGGTTTTGCAGGGCTGGAAATGGATGGTCATATAGGGCCTCAACATTTAGAATAGCGCCTCGGGGGATGTAATGTTGTAACTACGCGTACGAAAAGAAACCCTAGTGAACACGCCTACTCATTTTGCTACGCTCATAAACCCAGAAGAGTGTACACTGTCAGTTGAGTTGAGGCACCAGGGCTCGTGCGGCAGCTGATTCCAGGGCTGGGCTGGGGTGCGAGTTCTTATGAACATTCCTAGGCCTAAACCCCAAAACCCTAAAACCCCTAGCCATCCCAAAACCCCAAACCCATCTAGGATCGGGGTTCAATGTGTTTAAGCTGTCGGCTTTTAGGATTTACTGTTCAAGAACTCGTCAGTGTGTTGATTGCTCGAGGGCTTTTCGATCCAGCCTTTTTCGAGGGTGTAGGATTTATGGGTTTAGGGTTTAGGGTGCGGGGTTTTGGTTGCAGGATTTGGGGGTTTCGGGTTTCGGGTTCGAGGTTTTTCGATGTGCAGTGCTCTTGGTGTTGCAAGCGGACGTCGACTGTCGGTGCACAGACGCCTGAGCCGGCACACTGCACGGCTCGGGACCTCAAGCTCTCGACTTTGGCGTGCAGAGTTAGGGTTTAGGGTTTAGGGTTTAGGGTTTAGGGTTTAGGGTTTAGGGCTTAGGGTTTGGGGGTGCTCGGCTAAGTTCTGCCAGATCCGAAAAGGTAAACCCTGAACGCGGAACCCTCAACCAATTCCTAAATCCTAAACCCCAAACCCCACGAAGGATCTAGAAGGTAGAACCCCAAATGTGATTTAGGGTTTAAAATCTAGGGCATGAGGTAGTCCCCTGCTGGATAAGCCCTCGCCACGGATCACAACATTGAGATAAGCGTCGTTCATCAACTCATGTACTGACAAAGTAACATAGGGTCTCGATAATTGGAACAGGGTTTTGGGAACTAGCATGGGGGAGTCTTTTCCCGGAGCCCTACAGAATGGCTTTATGGGGCCTGGTGCAATCAGCGCCCAGTAAATCGGCACTAGCTCAGTTCATATCAGGGCCGCAAGACGCACATAAGCATAAACTACCCGTTGCAGTGACATTGCCTTGACAAGTTATGTTCAGGTGCTTCCTGGGCTCCAAGTCTAGTGCAACAAACGATTCAGGTTTCAGTTTGGCAGCCCAAGAAGGTAAACACATCGCTGCTCAGATGCTGACATGTATAGAAGGATGGTTTTGGGAAAACTCCTAAACCCTAAACCCTAAACCCCTCTGTGGCAGATGGCATTCAATGCTTTCTTTCGCAGAGCGGGAGCGTCCACGGAAAGATCGTGACGACTCATCATGGATCCCCAGCCCAATGATTTGCACTTGGGGTTCAGGGTTTAGGGGTTTAGAGACTAGCTCTTTAGGGGAGAGGGTACCCTGAACGCTAAACCCTAAACCCTAAACTGTGCTAGGGTATCAGGTTTCATGGTGCAGCAGTCGGGAATTCAGGGCCTTAGAGTTTAGGTCTCGGAGATTTCGGACAAAGCTGCTAGTACTAGAAGTCGTGCATGACCTGCAAGTGCGCGACAAGAGCTAGGAATCTAGCTTGGCTTAACAATAACATAGGGCCCTTAATATAATTTTTAAACTAGTCGCGGGCCTTTGTGGCATACACTATATACTACCCTAAACCCTAAAAACCGCTAAACCCTAAACCCAACATTTTGAACTCTAAACTCCTAGACCCTAAACTCCAGTAGTTAGGACTGCCCTCGATAGTCCGGCTATTTGCAAATCAAGACGACCTGCTAGGAATCGTAAGTAGTAGGGTAGGGCTTCTCTGGCATGTCGTGGTCGCTATATATGGACTATTTAAGGAGCTGTGTTTCGTAACTATTCAGGCAGTCTGACATCCAAACCGTTGGAAACCGGGCTAAGGATAATTAGTGCTGGGATTCCCTATACATTACTCTTAAGGATTGAGGCTATTGCGTTTCCAACTTTTGGGCTTGTACTGTAGACCCTAAACCCTAAACCCTAAACTTTAGGCTTCTACTGTAAGCCCCTAAGCCCTGATCCCTCCTAACCCCTAAACCCTAAACCCTCCTAGCCACTTATTCAGACCTCTTGATCAACAACTTAGTTGCTGAGTTCATGGGCCTCAACAAGTCTAGACTAAACTTTCATTTCCATAAAGGATTCTCTTATCCCAAACAGTGTAAACCTTCATGTCTATAGGGGATTCTATGATCCCAAAAATGTAAAGTGTACTCACTCAGCTACTAAGACAACGAAACTTAATAATTGTAACAGGGTTTTGCGGCCCTTTTATAGTATACTTATAATGAGGAACCCCCAAAATAGCATTGGAAACTCTTAGGCCCCACACCCTGAACCCGAAACCCTAAACCCTAAACCCCAAAATAGATTGGTAGTTATTTAAGTTATTTAGAACCCTAAAATGTAGTCTCTCAGCTACTAAGACAACGAAAGTTCTTGGCTGACTTCTACCCCCCTCCTGAAAGTTAAACTTTTAGCTTCCTTATTATGGTTGTTATAGAAACCCCCAAAGTCAGGGTCCTAACAGCCAGCCAGAAGAACGCCAAGAAAACTATGACCGGCTGCTTTCGACCCCTGAAATATACTTATATTACGGAACCCCCACCATAATATAGGTAACTATTGAGGGTTGAGGGTTTAGGGGTTTAGGGTTTAGGGTTTAGGGGTTTAGGGGTTTAGGGGTTTCGGGTTTAAGGTTGAGGGTAATTACTATTGAGGCCTACATTATGACCGGCTGCTTTCGACCCGTGCGGGTGCTCAGTCGGGACTGCCGAGGGTGCGGTCGCTGCTCCCTTCAGTCGTAGTCGTCTCTTCACCAGGGTTGTCCTAAGTTCAGGGTTTAGGATTTAGGGTTTATAGGGTTTAGGGTTTAGGGCTGAGGGTTTATAGGGTTTAGGGTTTATAGGGCTTAGGGTTTAGGGTTGAGGGTTTAGGATTTAGGATTTAAGGTTTAGGACTTAGGAGTTAAGGTTGAGGGTTTAGTCGTCACTTCACCGGGGTTCTCCTGAGTTCAGGGTTTAGGATTTAAGGTTTATAGGGTTTAGGGTTTAGGGTTCGGGTTTAGGGTTTAGAATAAGATGTGGCGGTTTCCGAAAATAGGGGACCCAAGTCCATGTTATAAGGACCCCAAAATAAAGTACCCTAATGTTCGGAAA